TTGCCAGGTGGCGTTCGGCGTTCGCGTTTTCATTTCGAAGACGTCGAACGCCTCGTATGGTATAAATGCTGAGATGCGTTTACGTTGGGTCAGGTTCGCACCAGATAGCGGCCAAGAAGCTATATTTCGGGTGGATGTAATGCAATGTACTGCGTGGCATATAGCCAGGAAAGTAGTTGTTTTTCTCTCGTTTTCTACCATTGTCGTTCATTTTATGAACTAGTATGTGGTAATGACTTTGAGTTTCTCTCTCTTTGTGAAATGATATATGTTCCAAAGGCATGTGGAAACATCGTATTTCATCGAACGGCATGTGTGACAATCACTTTCCTGAGCAGAATGATTGAAAAATAGCACTTTTCTGTGCGGTAATTTGCACTCAATTTCACGTTCTGATAACGAGATGAGAATAATGCCATCCGATACCAATTGAATGGTAGTTCTCAAAAACATACCTATGCCACACCTCAATATGAGTCAAAGCGATTCATATGCTGCCGTTTTTCCGGACATACTTTCGTCACGTGATAACGTGTTGAAACCAGAAGCAAAAGAGAAGGAATGATGCGCCCTTCGCGAATATCCAAACGTGCCGTGATTCAAACTGATCTGAGTTTGTGACAGATCGTCGGTCAATATTTCGCCCATGTCGAAAGATAATATTCGATGGACTGCTTCTTGTTTCAACTCGTTATCACATTTCTAGAGGAAATACTCCCATATTATTCGATTACATGCATAAACCGAGGATGTTATCCTCCATTCTGATAAATTTATTATAAAGATCAACCAAATTGCCAAACTGTTTCAAGAATATGCATTTTATCAATTGAGAGATTGTTTATTTCCATAATGAATAATGAATACCTAATATCGAAATCTTATGGCTTCAAGAAGTGAAAAAATAGAATTGATTCCATCTCTTATAAGATACTGCTGATGGGAAACTAACAACCTAGTTGAATTCAACTCCACCAAAACTCAAGCTAAATACTACTATTCCCACCAAGTCCACTATAGCAGAAACGAACGAGAAAGAAATGTTGACAACATAAACACAAGCACGCCTGTTCTCTTGAAAAGCCGATCTCACTGTGCTCAACATAACATTCAATGCTTGATATTACTATCAGCAATAACCATTCTTGAGGAAATCACGTGAGATCAATTGGTAATACTGCATCCCAATAACTTGGTTTTCTGTTTTCTGTTTTTTGCTTATGATCAATAAGGCACAGATCCGTCCTGTCCTGGAATACTATTCCCATATTTGGAGTGCATCACCCAAACATACCGTGAAACTGTTGGATTCTGTCAAAAAAAAGCCAATTCGTCTCGTGGGTGATGCCTCGCTCACAAACTCACTCACTTCTCTGGATTACCGTAGAAAAGTTGGCGATCTGGCTTCATTTCATAGCGAGTTCTATATATCTTCATGGACTATGCTCTTCTGGAATATCAACAATTGTTTCTCCCTCGACAGTCCCCGCGACATTGACCCGTCGAGTTGAGAACATCTCTTTCCAGAGACTCGTTCATCCAATGAACAGCAAGGCTCTGGAACACATTGCCAAGGGAGCTGTTCTTCAAGGCATATAACCTCCAGAAATTCAAGAAGAACACCAATTCCTACCTTATTTCCCTTGCTTCTCTTAACATTACAGGATATCCCGTTTCGGGGGAACCAAAACATAAAAAGAATGATCGGTATTTCCATCAGCGATACCAATTCATTAGATAATCATGTCAGATCCACTGCGAAGGTTGCTTCACAGAAACTCCAATTTTCGCTACGTGCTAAACTTGACACCTCAACAGATACGTATAGAATACTGTTCTTACATACTCTGGTGCTCTCAGATTCCATCCAAAGTAGAGCTATTCGTTGGGTGATGCCACACTCACTTACTCTTCGACATCCACTTCCATGGGAACTGTTCTTCATAAATCTCTGCTATCATTTCATCACAAGCAAGTAACAATACCAATCAGACCAACAAAACAAGCCCAGCCAGTACATTGTTTCATTGTCAACCTTGAAATATGTCGAACATTGCTTTATCAACAGTCGTTTTTCAATAGAACGGCATAGCTTTGGAATTCATCATTGCGTAAAGAAAAACTCATAATATCCAAGATTTCAAAAAGAAATCCAATACCTACCGCCTCTCTCTATCGTCCCTAGGTACGCACATTATATACGAATTTCCTTTTGTGCAATCCACTCGATGAAAAAAGTATATATGGTTAATAACGAAACAGCCTTTATAGAATCCTATATGAACGACTGATTTGATTAAAGTTTTTTGCAAGCGTTTGGATGGTGTGAAGATTTATTGGATTCGATGATTGTCACAGCCGACACACACATATCTCCTTATTCGGCATTAATAAGAGAATATTCTGCTACTCGTTTGAGTTTAGAGTCTAGACTCTTGACTGGATTCTTTAAGTCGGCGACATTCAGTAATGAAAAAGTCCGACTTCGAATTGAATTCAATCAAATGATGTGTCAACCGTTTCTCATTATTTTCGAACCATTCAACAATAGACTGAGAGAATTGAAGTTAATTGGGAAATCAATTCTAATTAAATTCCATCTAGATTTTGAACTCGAAACACATTATTCTGTGTCGAGGAGATACAGGATGATCCAATGAAATGTTGACCAGTGACAAATTGTATTACTTTCCTTTTTCTGTTGTATCATTTGAGCATATCTCTGATGGTATACTTCTTATTATGGATAATGTAGGAATCAAGAGCGATATCAAGAAACAAAACAAATAGCATGAAAAAAGAAAATGCTCCATTCACCGCATTGTCATCACATATCACTTCTATTTGGTATTTTGTCATTATTATGAACAATCGTTCTCGAAGAACATGTCCTCCAACTACGGTGGTAGTTCATGTAATCATGGCTGCAATGAAAGCAATTTTGATTGTCAAACCACGACAACATGTTCTCTGAAGACAGGTGTACCTACTAATATAAACTTCAATTATTGACAGAGCCCATATGAACATGAACTGAATGTTATGATTAAATACATGAAAATATTCGGCAGCTCATAATATGGGAATTTTAATCCTGAGGAAAATCAAATAACAAAGTATTTGTCATTGTCATAAGTAATATCACGATGTTCTGAATATTCGAGATAATTATGTCGCTTCAATTCTCAGGAAATTGTGTAAGAGTGGTATTGCTGTACATTCGAGTGTTCAATGAAAGACAGAATCATGAGAATATATTCAGAACAGAGTGGTAATTTGCTAGAATATTTCACGTTCACGAAGCATAAAAAGCATTTGTTATAATTGAGTGATTAATTCTGACAAGTGCAGTCATAATTATTCATCCAGACTTTGCTCCGCTATCCAAGCGGTTACATCGTTGAAAACATGAGCGCTGTCAGACCAATCACAATTAAAAAACAGCTCATGTTTTCGAGATAAGCACACATTAGGCGTTTTCGGAAACTTACTCTGGGTTGTTGACTCGATCTGAACGGGTCACGTGATGGATCAGTCGGATCACTTATCCTAATACTATAGTTTACGAACTTATCAGGTTACTATTTTATTGAGTTAGCTTTATACCTCTTCGAATAGAACTCCTTGATTTCTTACAGCTGTATGCAATTTTTTCAGTTTGCTATAGATATCAATATTTTCGGACCAATTTCTCCATATCTTTAAAAACATACCATCAAACTCTTGAAGATACACGTTGATATTGTCCTAGAAATGATGAATATTTGCTTCTGCTTATGATGTTGGTGTATTTTCATCATCAAACTTAAGCTATTCAACATAATCCACTTCTTGTTCAATTGATGAAATCAAATAATATCTGAAGTGACCTTAGAAATACATGTATCGTGAGTAGCTCTGTGGTAGTAAGTGCATGATCTGAGATCTAAGGTAGGTAGTAACTCTGGCTGACCCTGCTTTGGAGCAGGGTTGCGAAACATGAACTCGAGTTAGTGATCGAGTAAGTAACACCGGAGTTTCCGAACATGGGTATGTTACTCGGGTTAGGTAAACGAACGTGCAGGTTAGGGATCGAGTCAACCCGAGTAGGTTTCCGAAAACGCCTGTTGTCTCTGGCTTGTGATTGCCGATTGGTCAGATTATGTGATCAGTGAAATAATCAACTCAATATAGGAACTATACGATCAATTTTTCACAGCAAATATAGGATGTTGATAGTTCTTATAAGCGTCCTTCAAAGGATATTTCAGAAAACGGATTTTATTTCGAGAAGACTTTCTACAGATCCTGAAATAGATACTACAGAATTGAGTGGGAGTAGTAATTTGATATATTAGTACGGGTCGCATTGTATAACATTGAAAATGTGATAACAAAGGAAAGGAAAGGAAAGGAAAGAAAATTTTTATAATGTTCGTACCTATAGCAAGGATAGACAAAGAGGGTAGGTGTTGAAATTTTCCTTGAACTCGAACTATAGACAACAAAGGTATATTTGTTTTCAAATACAGATGGCGCTTTTGGAAGAGCAACGATGTTGAATGTCGCCCCATTTAGAATTTGTCATTGTATCAATCGTTTGGATGAAATAAAGACCCATTATTATAAATATCATCATCATTATTTTTTTGAGCTTTGAGTACTGATGAATTCGAATATGCCTAATTGAAATCCCATTCTGCTCGAACTCTTCGTCTGATGACTCGTGTTGTTGACATTCACTGGAATGTAATCACAAGAGACAAGCTATTTCTTTCTACCTTTTCAAGGTATAGGTACGTACAATTTCTGGAGGAATTATTATTTTCGATGATTAAATATCGTTCCCGAATTTTCATTAGAGCATGTTGAAGAAATAAGTATCATTCTAAATTGATATAGCGAATGGAATTATTATACTATGGAATGAAATCGTCGAAAATATGTTCCGTCATTAGGAATGCAATATCCTCCCTCGTCGATATTATATTCGGAGCTCGAAAGAATAAGAAAATACTCACTTTGTAAGGTTTCATTATCCTTCTCAGCTCCCCAGTTTCGTTCAACCTTTCGATGGTTTCTGCATCCTGAAACAAAATATAATTATATCATAACAGAATTCCTATAAGAAAACAAATTTTGAAGTTGGCCCGTGCATGAAATTCTCCCATAATAATTATTTCTTTAGGGCTACCGAATCAATATTCATATATTTGAAGTGAGTGCGAATAATCATTTCTATAGGGCTACCAAATCAATATTCATACATTGCAAGTGAGTGTGCATGATTTGTATATGCGGTAGCTCTTCACTTCCCACCCATAGACAGAGTTTTGATTGGGAACTACAATTTGGCAAAGAACACCTGACAATACAAATGCGAAAGCTAAACCTCTTGCCAAAACCAAAGTTTTGTACGCATGTACGTCTTCGCCATGGTTAAAGAGAATATTCTCCTCGATACAAATAGATTACCCCTGTTTCATACACTCTCCTACACTTGGCATACCACTATGCTATAAAAATTATCATGAGAATTCCACACCAGTTATTTTTATACAGTCACATTTTAAAATATATGAAAATTACCCTAGAGCGTATGAAATCGGAAATTCTTTCATGACGTTTTAATGACAAAACACTATTTTCACTTCCTAAAATAGTGATTTTGTGTCGCACTTCAATTGGGTAGAAATCAACAATTTATATGCTAAGAATCCATTGATGCCCTAACTGCATCTATTATATATACAAGGTGGTCCGTTTTTTAATACGGAAAATTCAACAGCGTATAGTACTCGTTGAAATAATAAATAAACTTCCTATGAACATATACTTTTAAACGCTTCGTTTTCGAGATAAGTTTCTTTAAGAAATCGATCATTTATTGATTTCTCAGAAATGCTATAACCAATTGTGATGAAATTCTTATCTTTTGTGGAAATATCAATGAGCTAACTTGTACTCATGAATGAGTTACATATTTTCAGGGGCGTGAATTTCAACATACAATTTTTTGTCCTCTTAGATTTCTTATCTAATAGCTTCGTTTCAGGAGGAAAAATAAAACCCAATATAAGAAACATTGTGATGCATTAAATCTAGTTAGCATTGGCCGTTTACCAAACCAATCAAGTAACCATTGCAGATCAATCATTTAGGTACGTATTAGAAGAGTCACAACAGGCCATAGACCGCAGTGGATATCCTGATATTTGTCTTCAAAACAGTGAACAGTGAGCAACTGAGCATAGCCTACTTCTTCAATTGATATCAAGTAGTATTATTTATTATTCCAATTTTTTTGGGGTTTTCTCTCCTCGTTTCTATAAAATAAAAACATAAATATTATTTCAATATACGTGTAGCAAGGACAAATCAGATGATTTGCCCCAAAATGTCACTGCGTTTAAAGAATTTTTCTATCAGAGAGCCTAAAAGAAAAATTCACTAGCTTGTCAGTGACAATTTGTATTGAAAAAATTTTGGAGAAGAGAAATAAAGGTATATAGAAAAAATATCAAATTTTCACTTATCTTTGGACGTTTCGGGATCGGTTCTGCTCCCGTTTTCATTATGAAAAGAAATTATTTCAATAGCGAAGTCGTATAATATGTCTTGAAAAAAAAAAAACAACAACAATAGTATCCCGAAGTTCATAGGGAATGTTACATTTTGAACTAGTATTTTCTTGCAAATTCAATAGGTAGAAATCAGGAATCTATTTTTGGTGCCGAAACTGAGACCCAAACTGAATTTATCCATGAACCTGTATGCTAATAAAATGAACAAATTAATTCTGAAATTATTTAATTTCCAAACACAATACCACACGAGGTAAAACTTTTTCATTCCTTGTTCAAGTTGATTTTAGATGATCAACTCATTTCGGTGTACGGTATATTTTTTCCTTTGTATACGGTGGTGATACATAAGGTAATGAACTTTGAGCCCCAAATACCAGAGGCGCTATATTAAATCATGTCAAAAAGGAGCATCCAACTTTCGGCAATATCTGTATTTTGGTTGTGCAATTCATTGAAAAGATTCTAATATGTTGCACCCTTAAATGACCACACTGTATAAGATTTGGTTATCAGATGACGGTTGAAATTGGCTACTATACGGCCTCAAAATGTCTTTTGTTTCTTTGGGTTTTAAGTGAAGAGAAAACTCGAGAGTGTATTGTCCTGATGATGCACCGACTAGAATTGACAATACTCCAAAAGACAATTTATTCAAGCATCACAATTCGAGTTTTTTCCGTTATTGGCTCACGAAAACTTCCCAAGTAGCTTCGTCACGTGAGTTGTTAGATTGAATCGAGGAAATGTCGGGGAGAAAGGAGAATATTTATTATTTGCTCGCGGGAATCCGATCAGATTTATTCGATGAATATTCGCGTGCAAGAAGACACGTGTATAACAGGATCGCTACACAGGGAAACAATATATTATCCTTATACAGAATTACATATATCTAATCCAGATAAGTATTTTCGTACTTTTTTATATTGTAAAATCAATGAGATCTTTTCTTCATCGAATTATAATTTCACAATGAATGTCGTCTCCTATGAAATGTCAAATCTTGAACAATGACAGCTCTGTTTGAAAGAGCATCACTTGAGACAACATCAGATGGCTACAAGCAGAAGATATAAAACATTCCGCTTTTTTCAGCTACAACCGTGAAAAAGTCAAGTGTTTCAAAAGCATATATATACTGTTTTTCTAATAAACGTGTCCTGAAATGCATCAATTCCAAGCTACAGCTACTGGAAGTTACATAAAAAATCATCTAAACTCATTGTACAGTTATAAAGGTTACAAGGTCGATATGCAGCATATAATGGATGAGGTCAAATATTGTACAAATACAATAACCAGAGAATTTTCGTAATCCTGCTGAAAGATTACATTTTCATTTGGAGGGAAGGACAAATCACGTATATCGTAATTCTACAGGAAAATCTCAACATCGTATTGTTATGGAACCGTTGACTTTCCTATTGTCATCTAAATATCGTTGAATCAAAATTACGAAGACTTCAATAATGAATCAAATCTTCTGAGAATTGTCATTATACATCGAGAGAAATATCTATTAGCTGTTATACAACACTGTACTTATAACCTTCAAAAGATTTCTGAATTTAATAGGTGACAGCTAAGTTCCCATTTTACGTTAATCAAGTCCATCATCTAAAAAAACTCATGTAACTGTCAAACAACACTTATATAAGAATGAAAAAACGCTTAATATTGAAATAAAATGATACTCATATCAATGAAACTTGCTTTCAATTTGATAGTCAAGTGATTGACATTTCAGTATTAGGGTGATTAATTTTTTCCCAGAAAATTGAAGTGGATTGAAGATCGTCGAGGAATATTGAAGACATTTCTACTTATAGTATATACATATACTCACCCTCAAGTAGGGTTCTTTATTGAAACTACAGTGCATTGAAGTGCTTCACAAGGGCAAGATACTCAGTACAGATATTCTCAATTAGCCTACGATGAAAATGCTTCCAATTCAAAGTATTTGTTCTACTTATTGTCACTTCCTACTCCATTTCTCCTGATGAATTGTTGGCTATAATTTTTTTGAAGAAGCGAATCGAATAATACGAATCGAATAAATACATATTATAATATACCTTGTCCAAGATAAGGACACGAAGACATCCATATCTTGGACAAACTGTATACGCAATAAAATCTTCCACCAATATGTAACTGTGCGAATCCAAGGTCCCGCACCCATAGTGAATAGTGAGGTAGTATGTAAATGCCAAATTTTATCCAAATTGGAGGAATTTTCGATACATTACCAATTTATCGTGAAAAAACTATAACGCCCTGATGCAGTTCGACTTATTGTCCCATACTTTGGGGTATATAATCGAATATATCCCTGAACTATCTGGAAGAACTTCCAACCACTTCACTGTTTCGACAAAAGAGATCATCACCCTATAAGAAGGGTTCACGAGCTGCTTCGGGCTAATTTGTCCTTACATATCATGTATTCGTAGACGACTCATTATGGAAAACGAGTATGACGAAGATGGTAAATGAAGAAGTGATGGAACTTGAATAATACTTGTATACCTGTGAAATGATTTGAATAATCATGTTTTGAATTCCATCTTTCAACTATGATCTTGTTTCATTTCTAATCTATAAGTTATCTTTTCAGAGTCGGAGTTACCCCTCTGAATTCAACGAGGTCTTACTTGAAAAACATCAGAAAACAGAGTGTTGTGGTTGATAACAATACATCTGACTTCAAATTTCTTGAACATGATATACCCCAAAGTTCGATATCTGGACCGGTACTTTTCATCACCTATGCAAACGATCATTTTCTATATTTATTTCAGAATAGACTGTTCATGTTCGCAGACTGCGACAATTACTTTACAATATGTTGATGCTATAAACAACACTGGAAATCTTGCTGAAAGAAGGTTTCTGCTAATAAATTGAAAATAAATCGAGACTGAACACATAAACTGGTTTTCTCAAGCAATAGCTGCGATGGTGGAACTGCCACGCTTTTGGGCATCTACCTCGACGATTCTCTAAATGGGTCGACTCACATCACTCACATTAGAGTAACAAGGACAAACAAAGATGGAACACTTCGATGATGAGACCTCTTGGAAACCTTCTTCAGGATCTATTATAGGGACCTTCCACGAACCATCAACTCAACAATATGTTCTCATCAGTTATGCAATGTCTGGTCCTAGAAATTTCCAAAAAATTCAAATCCAAGAAAAATTCGTACGTCTCAGGGACATTCTATGGAAATCCAATTATACCCCTCAGTATTGCTGATAGTAGTTGTCCCAGAGAAATCCCTCAAGGACCTCCTTAATTGGTTATCAAGTGGAACATTTGTGCGTCACACAGACCTCCATTGGACGTCTACGATACCAAGTTTGAACGTCGTATGGACGTCCTGAATGCCTTGACGGGACATCCTAAGGATGCTCATGGGACAAAATTGTGCTATCAGGGTTGGTTGAATAAAAAAAAGCGATAAACCGATTTCTCAGAATTTTCCGTGGCCA